GAAGACATGTTTTTATTATATATTTTTTTGGCACGGCAAACTCATCTCATTGCTAGTCGCACAATGCGCTCTTGTTGCACGGTCTCTCTCTTGCACCCACGCGCTTGCGAAGCGTAACTCAAAACTAGAGGTGTACACGACGTGGAAATGAGGCCCCACGGAAGAAAGAGTGTGTCGCCATTCGCCGTGTGTGCATGCAGCGCAACGCAGCGCAACGCAGCGCGCGCACTTTAGGAAATGAGCGCCTCGTCAGGTGCAGCGGGGCTGCGGCGGGCTGCTCCTGCTCTTGCTGCTGCTCTTCTGTTGTTGCTACTGCTGCTGCTGCTCCTGCTCCTGCTCTTGCTGCTGCTCTTCCTGTTGTTGCTACTGCTGCTGCTGCTCATGTTGTTGCTGCTGCTCTTCCCGTTGCTGCTGCTCTTCCTGTTGTTGGTACTGCTGCTGCTGTTGTTGTTGTTGCTGCTGCTGCTCTTCTTGTTGCTGCTGCTGTTCTTCTTGAAGTTGTTGCTGCTGCTGCTCTTCTTCTTGTTATTGCTGCTGATTCTTTCCTTGTCATTGCTGCTGCTGCTGCTCTTCTTGTTTCTGCTGCTGCTCTCCTTGTTGTTGTTGCTGTTGCTGCTGCTCCTGCTGGCGCTGCCGTTGTTTCTGCCACCGTAGGGTGTGCGCTTTATGTCGTTGTGCTGCGTGCGCGGCGCTGTGCGTTGCCAAACGAGAGAAATGGGCTTGTTTCAACATCGGATCCCGCTCGAGCTGAGCTGCCGGCCCGGAGACATCAAAGTAGCGGGGCTGTTGGGAGGGGTAGTGAGGGCCTGTGAACAATAAGGACGAAGGGAGAGGGCGGTGCACGGCGGCACAGTGCAGGGCGGTGCACGAGAGCGGGAAGAGGTAAAAAAAAGAAGAAAAAAAAACTGGCACGTGGAGTTTTAGCCAACAGCACTGACGTGTGGGAAAGGATGTACGCAAAAACGAACTAGAACATACGCCCGGGAATGGGGTATTTTTAGGAAAACAAACAACTCGCAATTTTCTTGTTAAAGTCATCTTCTTTGATACGCGAAATCGGATACTAGAGCGGCGGCGGCGTGGCTCCGCTTGCGCATTATATTGGCGCCGAGTTTATTTCCGATAATACGCCGAAGGGTCCGCCTACTCTCTGCTTGTACACGCGGAAAAGAAAATCTTCATTGTTTGAGCTGGAATCAATTCCATGGATCCGGAAGAACATATAATCAATTATTTTTGCTATAACAGCAAACATAATATTGCTCTCAGAGCCACTCGCAGAGCCATCACTTTGCAGTACGTACTGCAAATGTGAGTCGTCTCAGCTAAGCACTTGCAGCAAGTAATTTCTATCCGTGTACCCTGTCAACTCAAATGCATTTTATGTCTACTCCCTCCAATGTACACATCGAGATGTCTTTGTTTTAAATTCAAGACATTGTATGCATGTGAGCTGACAAAAAATGTACACCGGAGATCCAATTGTGTGAATGTCGCACACTTTGTAGGTTTGTGAACGCCATACGTACACGTGGAGACACAAGTGCGTGAATTTCAAAGGAAAATTCACACCTTTAATCCCTCCATTCACACACCTCCAAAAGTACGACATTCACCTATAGTTTGAGCTATCTTTGTGTGAGGTGGTTTTGGTTCTCTGACCATCGTCTACAGCAGACCGCAAGTACAACAAAATTGATGACATTAAAGCTTATTACTTGTTTCTCTTTCCAGAGGGCAAGTACCACATGCTCATCACGGGCGAGCTGCTCATCCGGGACGTGGAGGAGCCCGACAAGTACAACAGCTACCAGTGCCGCGCCGTCAACAGGCTGACCGGCGCCACCCTCCTGAGCGCGGGCAAGGCCAGGCTCAGCGTCACCGAGGCGCGCGCGCCCATCCCGCCGCGGCCGCTCGAGAAGGTGGTGACGGTGCACGGCGGCAAGGACCGCACCGTGGTGCTGCCGTGCTTCGCGGAGGGCAACCCGCCGCCTACCGCCAGGTGAGACTGGGAGCAACCCGTACAGAAAAAAGTAGCCTCAGGATGGCTCCGTCGTAGCCATTCTCAACACATCGCGGAGGCTCGCTGTGATCAGTCTCCAGCTTTTGCGTAGCCGAGGCGTAGCCATCGCGAATGGCTCCGCAATAGGTAACTTAATGACGGAAAGAGCCATTTCGCAGCCGCCTTGGAGCCAAACAAAGGCCGGCACCTGGACGACGGGGAGCCATTTCAGAGCCATCGGGGGGCCTTACCGGGGACACTTTAGATACGTTTTGGAGCCAGTTTCGGGCCATCCAAAAGACAA